CGCCCCCTCTGCCCCCTGCCTTCCCGCTCGCCCGTTCGTCCCTCTTTCTGGATATTGTATAGAGAACGTTATGCTAAAGTATGCATGTACGAGGGTCGGTCCAATGGTCAGGAATCTCGCGAGTTCGTTCTGCGGCAGCACGTATCCGGACGTATCTCTCTGGACTCGCGGCTCCCGGTGCCGCCGCGTGCCGTCCACACGTCGTCGCTCGTAGCCCCGGTACTACTGCGTTAACTCTTCCGGTCGGACCGGTTAGCGCGCGTGGAGGGATCGGCAGGCTGCTTCGTTGATCTCGGTTACTCGGGACCACCGTAACCGGGGGATGATTTACCCGTAATGACGATCGGGCTGAATTGCGGTAGGCCACCGGACGGGCATTCGTAAGAGGAATCTTTTATTATAAATTTTTTCATCGTATCTCTGCTACACGCGCCGAGCTTGTTTGCTCGTTTCTCTGTTCGAGACGAAAAGGTCTCATGATCCATCACTGTTAACGACTTTAGCCGCCCCCCTCCCTCCTTCTCAAGATTCATCTTAAGGCTACCCTGTTACGATCTTACGTTTAACAGCCTCGTCTTTACTTGATTTTTTAAGGTGAAGCTGCTGCAGTGTTATTTGCATGGCCAAATTGATCTCCGGTAGAATGTACGCTTGCTGGAAGTATTTACTGCGTCGTTTTGAATATTTTGTACGGGGGTTCGCGAGGAGTATGGCTGATTAGCTTTCTGTGTTCAATTTAGTTCTCGTCAATCTGGTAGCGTCTTGAGACTTATACTACAGTTTATGATGGTATTCAGATGTTAACGGGCTCTTACTAATTAGGTATTCAGTATTTATTACCGATCGACGCAACCGATCCTGTCATTGTATTGTTTCGAACCGCGTTATCCGGAAATTCCATTCTTTAACTTCAAGGAGTCATGTGATTTTGGTCGAACACGCTGAATTGGCGTCCGACGAAGTGTTGTCTTTGTAAGAATAGGTAATTGTGTTGAAGTTATTAAAAGAGATGGAAACAAACAAGAAAATGTGGATCGGACCAAGGAAATTTATTTGAACTGGTTCATTATGGGAAAACAATTAGATTAAATTAGAAACTTGTGGACATGGACAATACGAGGATATTTAGGACGCAATAAATACTTCTTGCACCACTGAGCAAAATAACATTTGACATACAAGATAATTTATTTGCACATCACTATTGCCTAAGTACTGATGCAAAATCGTCTGAACGCAAACTTAGAATTGCAACGACCTTAAAAAAAATAGTTTTGATGCGTAAATTATCTTAATAATTTCTAACAGGCAGTAAAAAACTGATTAGTGAACTTGAAAGTATATAGTTGTATTTAAGAAAAATAAAATACAATTGTATTTTTTAAATGCATCGACGCATAAAAGTGCATTCAGTTAATATATTATTTAACTTTAACTCGTGAAACTTTAAGGACATAATTTGTCCAAATTCCGCGGAATGTACGTGAAATGAAATACTTGAATCTCATTTTCATGAAAACGGGCTCGATATTTTATTGGTTCGCGTATACATATAAATGATGTTCTGTTCAGACAATTAAAATTCAAATCTGCTCCATTCCACAGTAAGACAGGGGAATTGATATTTGCTTTTTCCAGCACGTTCCGATATTCAATTTCGAATCCTGACTAATTAACCGTTTCCTGGCCCCCTGTTCGATATTCCTCCGAGTTATCCGACTCATTACCTCGTCAGTCTTTTATTAGGTTCTCGCGTGGATATCGACGATCCGTCGATTCGTCGTCGGGCGGTCGTATCAGGTCTGGGTTTCCACGCGTTCCCGAAATTCAGAATCGGCAACACTCGCGATTTATTAGGCGGCAGACGTCTGTCCGTGTTATTTGCGTGCCAGGCGCGGATAAACGTGAGACGCGTCGCGGTTTAACAATTCTCGTAATCAGAGAGGTCCTACCGATTCGTTTGGAGTAGAGACACTAAAGTCAATGTCCCGATTTCTGCTCAGTACGTATATTTTTTATTTAATGTAAACAGTTAAATAATAAATTAGTTTACGCTTGTATTATTTATTTACAGTAATTAGACAAAATAACATAAATTAAGTGACATAAATAAAGTAAAATGAATAATTGAAGAAAAACAATTCTTTTTATGCATAATTATGGTTGTGAAATACAATTTTATTATCTAGTACAAAGAGTTTAACTTCAGCGTTGTCATTCTTTCATGAATAGAATTATTATTAAGATCAGATATTTTATTTGTAGTTAATAATATATTATCTTGCACTAGGGTTTTCTTATTTCTGATTTTTTCATTGACAAATATTGAAGAAATTCTGAGAAATATTCCTGATCTTCATTTTCATAATTACTATTGCTTATATGTCTCATATACATATCAAAATACCGTTATAAACGTTTCTATCGGTTAAGAATGAAATAGACTATTTCTTTCTCTTTCGTAGGATTTAGCAAACTCCTGGTGGCTAATGACCCGGTGTCCAGTCTGTGATTATAGTGTCTCAAGTTTGGAGGTGTTTCATTTTTTTTTTTAATGGGAACGGTCATTAAAATGATTACTGTTTCCCTCCGGACAGTTTTACGAGTAATGAACGCGCCGACGAAGTTCTCCAAATAATGAGGTTCGGCATCTGTCCATCCAAGGCTCACTTATCAAACATTACAGAACGCGTTGCAATTACCTGTCATACGTCCCTCATTTTCCCACCTAAAGAGTGAACGTAAGAATGACGTCACTGACGTCACTGCTTTCTGCCAGCCAACTTATGAAGCCAAAAGATTACATTTTTGACGAGTGGTCATTTGCGTCGCTAATAGCTAGGATGTGATATGTATGGAAATTATAAAATAAAACAATATTATCAGACTGGTGGACGTGTATGCAAATTCTCAGTTTTGAGGGACACGTACACCTATTGACACAAATTAACTCTCACATGACGACGCATCACTCGTTCAGTATGTTGCGATGTTTTGCGGAAAGAGAATGTATCTAACGAATAAATAGAAATCAATTTTAATGAACTAGAAAATTTTGTATTATTTTGTTTTAGAAATTCTTGTAAATGACTGGAAGTTTTTTTTAGTGTTTATAGTGTCTAGCGAAGTTGGATATAATTTTATTCGAATAATATGTACATAGTGAAAAATAATAATATCTAAGAGCGTCATCCTGACCTTTAAATAGTTAATGCGATTAAATAATTCTTCGCCAAGTTTGTCCTTATTTAAGAAGTGTTATTTAATTATAACAATTGGATTTTTCACGTTTAATCAATGAAAAATAACGAAGAACTTTTTTATCTTTTACTGGTTATTCGAAACTCTTTATCTAGAAAATAAATTTTCCCATCTCCGCCGTGTAGTTTGAATCGCAAGTGACTCGGCCATAGACGTTTACGGTCCACTATGGGAGGGTTAAAAAACTATTTTGCGTGATGTATTTTCTTTCATCACCTTGTTGTGTAAGTATTTGAATAAAATAGAAAACTTGTATATTGTTTACTCTGCAAAACCAAGAAAATTTGAGAAATCGATATTCATTAATTGTGTGTTCCTAAATATCTGGAACAAATTTGGTGTTCATAAAAAGTGTTTCGTTTCTCAACTTTTGTTGGTAAGTGTATAGTAGAAATATCCAAATTGGACGGAATTTTGATTTTCTTCAATGGATATTGAAATACATTAATAACAAAACATAAATATTAAACTGATGACCTCAATTTACGTAGGAAACTGAGAATATAGGAATTTTATTAAAATCTTTATTCTTCTACATTTCGCGGGTCAGACGATGCTACAGATGTATCTGTAGTATAATTATTAATAATTTGGAAGAAGTTGGAATATGAAAGATGATCTGTTGTCGATGGTAAAAGCGGCAAGGGGCTGAGTCTCAACGAAAGAATAAATCGAAAGTTTGGAATAAAATGTTAATTTTTAAGGTTTTGATTTCGAAAAATATTAATCTGCTATCAATGCTGGCAAATATTAAGAATAATAAACTATATGTACGTACAAATACTATTTGAAAAAATCATTTTGTGCAACGTTTATGTTGCGGGCAAAACTCGTTTAATATTTATACGCAGATTATCTTTAAGTCAAATATTTACAAGATGATTATCTTTTTTTTTTTGTTATATGTACCTTGTTTATTTCTTACTTTATTCTTAGAAACTTTATACGAAATAACGTTATTCTACATTATTATTAAAATATGTTAGTTTGGAACATGAAATATATTTATACGAAATTATCTATTTAACATAATTATTGTTCTTATCTCCGTTTGCTGCGCATGCATGCATTCGTGAATACATCAAGTAGAAACGGCGCGTAACGAACAGACACGTGAGTCAAGTATTACTCAATCGCAGGCGCCCTCAACGAATATTCAAATTCAATTTTCTCGAAAATGCAGTCGTGCATGATAAAATTTTATTCTACGCTTTTGAGTTATTTTTTCATGAAAAATTACCTACTTGTTGGTTCTACCGTTAGTAATGGGCTACTCTGAAAATTAGCTCTACATACACTGTGTCAAATATAATTTTAATTGCGAAAAATGAAAAAATGCCATTTGTTAAGAACATACATCTTGATCTAGGTATTTTTGAAGATAAAATATTTTTTATTATACAGGAACTGACAGTATTGGTATTGCGAATACATAACTGATTTCTCATATATTCTTATTTATTATGATATATTGTATTTAGCATAAATTGTTATTAGTACCGTGGTTTTCGATATCACATAGTACCGATGAATATGGGGCGATAAGAACTTTTTTCACTTCCATCAACATTTTCTTTCATCCCAAATTACAGCCATCAATAATTTTATATTTGTTAAGCACACAATAAAATTTATGGTTTTACTGATATTTTCTTCAAATATCATGAATTTCTTCAACATACCAGAATATATCCCATTTTTACTACGAATATAAATACTTACAGCAGCAATCTGTTAACTCGTTTCACTGGATAACGTTTGGCAAACGTAGTATCATTTCACATTTTGTATTTTGAATCATTACTAGTCTAAATTTAAATAGCTCGAGGCACGCTATATCGTGGAGAACGTTACGCAAATAAATCGAGAATAAACGAAACAGGGAAATAGTGAGAAGAGCAAAAAGCATAGCGTGGATCGTTAATCCAAAATAAAATACTTGCGCTAATCTGAATCGTGCAATGTTTCTGTTAGACACGAACGATTGTGATTCCGTTTTTACTTTCGATCACTCGATTCGTCGAAAAACAAAAAAAATAAATATAAAAAAAAAATTCTTTATGAAACTGTATTAGTCGTCCGCGCACCTCATTACGGGAATTCATTGTAATCCGCGTCGAAGCGTGCACGGAAAACATTTCATGAATATTATCTTCAATAATTTACTAAGTACCATATTGATGGAATTACCGTGACAGGAAACGCATTAACGTGCACGTGATAATTATGTTTCTATTGTACAATTTTGAATCATTTTCATCAATTCTTGATATTCCTCCGAACCCAACATCGCAGATATTTGTTTTTGATTATTTTACATTTATTTGTTTACTGTATCGCAGGCTGTATACAGTATATGTCGGAAGTATTTTTGTATCAATAATGTATGCAACGAACAGGATATAATTATCTTAAAATGTGCAACAGTATACGTATGTTTAATGATAATTGCTGTTTAACGAAGACAAATATATTAAGAATGATTATTATAAATTACGGAAAAAAATTATGCTTAATACTTTGTTTTGTATTATGTTATGAGGGTGAACTGTTTTTAAGGTTTTTAAAAAAAAATTAACTCTTAAAGGTCCCTAAATTAAACATAAATATATTATATTAAAGTTTCCACCACAACAGGTTAATATGTCCATTACATTGGCCCAGGAATACTTCGACTCAAATCCATTTTTTTCCCAGTAATTACTAACGATCAGGATCTCAAAAGATTCTGGCGGATTCGTTTCATTATTAACCATGCCTCTATTTCCATTTTCGCCGCGTAATCTCATGTATTTTTCATTCATCGAAATTAGTCTAGCATGATGGATACCCCGGCGCAATAATCAGCTGAATATTCTCTTTCCCATTAAGTGGTCTCTATTTCAGGTTCCTAGTTAATCAAATCTGTCGCCATATTAAATGATCCACCGGAAAGAGTCTGTCAAAGTTTCGACAGAATCCCTTTTATATTCTCGATAAGTGTTGTATGCTTGTATGACGTACTGCCTTTTAATAATATTATTGAGAAGCGAGTAATCGAATATGTTAAAGAACACTAGCAAATAATCATACAGTTGGATTTTCACTTCCTGTTAAACGGACCGTTTACTAGCCGCCATTACGGTACCATTGAAACATTCTGGAAAAGGTTTACATAATGATTTTTACGCTCGACTGTGATGTCGTACCTTTGAACAATATTTATGTATTTCGAAGCGGACAGTCAAGTATGTCAAGGTATATATAGTGAGAAATAACAGCCCGTTAAAATGGCTGATTGCCAGCCGCCATTACTCCCGCATTACTTCACCACTGAAATGTTTTCAATACGTTTTATATGGCGATATTCACACTGTCCGTGAAGTCGTTCCTTTACAATATTTTCCTTTACACTTTACTTAGTTGGACGCGATCAATCGGTCGTTCGTAATTGTATTGTAATTTTAACAAAATTACTAACACAATTTTGGAATATAGAAAAAATTATTCCTACCGATATATGGACAAGTAAAAACGATACAAAAGTCTAAACTTGCGCTACGATTGGTCCGGGGTTTTTCGTTAATATTTCGTTAACAAAGCCTCGGACATTTTCGGTAAGGAAAAACTTGTTTCAAATCATCCCAGGAACCCGTCATTTCCGGAAGTCGAAGTTATCTTGAGACACCCTGTATATATATGGTCTTATTTACGATCCACTAGCAGGCCTAGAACGAAAGAAAGCTCCTCTTATTCTCCTCTCCTTTTTGCATCTTTCATTACAGAACCACGCCACAGTTTTTTTTTGTTTGTAGAACGTTTCGACGGGCAGCTAGCAATCGGTTTTATTCATATAAAAATGATAAAGAATCGTTGGAACGATCTTTGCAGATGGAATATGGGATCTGGAGTCTTCACGCCGCGGGTGAACTTTGGGGTGACCCGCGTCTCGCCCGAAGGCACCCGATTCTGCCTCCAAGCGCGACGCAGTTGCTCCCGAGGGCCGCGTTCGCCCTGAGCGCCCTTCACCGACCGGAAATGGTGCCGTTACCGTTGACGTCCACCGGACCGCCATACGGGCCCATCGAACTGGTCACGAAATCCTCGAAAGACAGGGTCGAGGCGGGAAAAAAGGGAACTGATGTGAATGACGACCAGCAACGTGACGACAACGAAGGAAACATCGAAAAATCAGACGAAAATGATAATCAGGTACGGTTCAGATTCCCACATTGATCTCCTCTTTGTAATGGCAAACAAAAAAATAGGGCATTCGATTTAAAAATACGTTGCCATTAGAGAAATCTCAGAAGATGTGACCTTGAGATGACCTTCAATCTCATAGCCTAATTTCCCCCTAGAAATACACTAACTTTTGTCCGAACCATTTTTTTCTACCGTGACAAATAAGGGAATAATTAAGAGTGGCAGAGTTTGGTGGGACACCTTGTATACTCGGAATTCTTAAAGGAAAATGACTATAGAATATTATAGCAGTTCACGAGGTTAAAATAAGGTGATGTCGCAATTTTTTGTTTAATTATACAGACTTCCAAAGAACACAACGACAACGAAGACGCCGGAGAGGAAAGCGACAGCGGAAGCACAAACAGTTCCCATCGCTCGGCCAACAATAATCTTCCGACGAAGCTGCTTGATCCGATGGCTTACCTTGCTTTCGATAAGGTATGTTTTGACTCCGATGGATTTTACGAAACTAAATCCAGAAGAAAAAAGGTAGCGAATAATTGAAAACTAATTGAAAAATAATAGACAGCTCCGTTATGGCTGACACGTGAAATATAGTCTGGGATAGTATAGATCAATAAAATGATCAACCGGATACGAATTAACCGAGGACCATTCCGATTTGAGTGCTATTTTGAGGTTTGGCTAATTAGAACGCGAATGTATCGATTTTCTTATCGAAGTTCCGTGACATAGGAAATTGAGTTAACTAAATGTCTTGACGTGAGCGGCCATTTCGAAACGTGGATCGTACTTATATCGTGAATTTTCATTATTATTGCATGTAATTTTACTAATGTGAAGCTTAATATATGTAATTAATTATTACTGCTATCATACTAGAGATATTATGAATATATTATGTGCGGTGGACTGAAATCCAATAAGATAAAATGGTTAATATTTTCTGATGCAATTATTGAAAGAGGAACATATTGTTGAATTAAAGTCTGTTAATAGAGTCCATTAGTCTGTAAAATTTATGAATTTTGATAAACATCTACGGTAAAATAAAAGTGAATACAAATATTAAATTAATAAATTTGGAATAAAAAGCCTTGAATAAAAGAATCTTCACTAGTATGAAATCAGAGTAGATTTTACTAAATTATAATTTATATAAGTATTGTATCGTGTAAATGGTTTACTTTAAAATGAATACATAATGTTAATTAAGTAAAACAAAGTCCAACTTTTCATGTCACCTTTGAATACAAATTATAAGATAAATTCCAATCACACGATGGAACTTTACAGCAAAGTCGAAGTATTAATGCACAAAATCAATCGAGCTGTACGGAATTCAATATTTTTTTAATATACAAAGTTTGCATCGGCCTGTCTTCCTTTTCCAGTTCAGGTAATGTTTACAGACAGTTAAATCGTGCATTTGAAAGTTATGAAAAAAATTTGTTCGTGTTGAATTCCCTTCGAAGAGAAACGAATAAGTCATAGTGAACGTAACTGTATACATTGCTCCCCTTTGTCGGAAAGAAAATTATTCTCGAAACTTTATTGTTACGCCTGGGAGTGTAATATTGGTATTAAAACAGATACCAGAATGTGAGTAACAGAAATGTTACGATCAATATGCATCCAACGCTGGAACGCGTGTGTACAGTCCCGAGAGGGCTATTTAAAGTCGATGACCTCACACCTGTTTAATTTTCGAAATAAAATTTTTCAAACAAACCAATGGTCAAGTGTATCTCGTATTTTTTATTTTTAGAGTAATGTTGCAATACCACTAATACCGTCAGTGAAATAGTTGTATTATTAAAATACATTATTTATGAAAAGAATAAGAATATTATCTCACAAAAAAAAAAGTAGCCCCATACTAGATTTGGTTCAACATTTTGTTAACGCATCATTTAGTACACTAATCCTTCTAACTTCACAAAGAAACTCAAGTCACTTGGTCCAATTTTGAAAGAGTTATTCTGTTTTAATGGGTGCACGAATACTTTTTGGACCCACTGTTGTTATATTTTCTAAAAGAAGTTCTATTGTACTTGAATAACACGTAATAATGTTTTCCTCGGTTACCAGGAAGGAACAGTGACACCGGTTCTAAATGGCTGGGTCCTTGGCGCATACACCGCTATGCTTGGTAGGCTGTCAGCGGCGACCGCAGCTCTGGAGGCCACGGAAATCCCGAACATCCCGTCCGACAGCGATTCCGAGAGCGAGCATTCGTCTTACACCGAGAAGTATGCATCCTTACCGACCACCCTCAAGCAGAAATGGCTTAAACCCGTAATCTACTTAACCCTTGTGTGGACAACCAAAATATTCACGGTTATTAAGCGATCGGAATACAGGAAATCCTCGATGAGTGTTCCAAGATTCCTCGGAACTGACAAGGGGAGGTCCCCAGGTGTAACGTTGACTTTTTAATGAGCTTGGAAGTTGTTAATAAATCATTCATTTCAACTTAAAAATTGAAAAAGATTCTGTTAATATATACTTACGATTTTATTTCGTAAGTAAACGAGGAGTTTTTCAAAAAATTGATTGTGGTCAAAATGGCAGCCGTTTAACGTAAAATTAGGGTTTTCGATGCTTAAACTTTTCGTTTTTCGTGAACTAAATAAAGAGTTTTCATTAGAAACAAACATGCCTGTTTTTGGCTTGCTGTTTAGACATGACTTCTTAATTTGAACTATTCGAATTTACCTCCAAACGATATTCAATGTTTTTATCTAGCTAAATTTCCTCCTATGTGTCAAGAATGCACAAACATCCGCAGTCTAGTACTATCAGAACGATTCATTTCCTACAGTGATTAATTCCACAGAAGTATAAAAAGTATAAAAAGTTAAACAGCAATCAAGTGCTTTGACATTAAAATCCAAAAGAATTCAAAAAGTAGAATTAGTCACATTTGGCCTGTGAACGCCTCAACGGTCGGTGAAATATTTCCATTTGAAAAAACTTTTCACGGTAAAATACGTCGAACACAGGGCAAAAAGCGTTTAAGTGCCACGATTTTATTTAGCACGTCGCGGAATCGATAAAAGGAAACCGACGAGTACGTGGAACTCGAGGGCAAATTCGTTTCTTCTTTTTTTTTTGTTTTAAATTTCTTTTCGTTCGAACGCGATTCTGATACCTCAAATGCGCGAGATAAATGACGCGGTAAATCAAGGCCACTGGCGGATATTGGCCTGCAATGAGTTACGGTTGCTTCGTGGGCACCCATTGCGAAATTTGGAATATTTTTTTAGTCTTTACGATACCACGGTTGGAGAATTCTCTTGAATTAATATCGAACTGTTTCGTTTCTTTCTTTTTGGGTGCATCGTACTAGCCCTGGCAGAGGGTAGTGAATCAAACAAGTTAGAATTATTGTTGCAGAAATTCTTTACATACACAGTAGAAACAGAGACTATTGTTGTATGTGTATTAAGAAATGAATAATAGACTGTATTTAACCCTTTGGATACGACCATATCTGCTGCGAAATGTATGACACGAGAGCAATACAAAAGATGGCGATGCTTATGTACGTTTAGATAATAAATTAGAAATAATCTTTAAATACGAAAACGAACGTTTAATAGAGATTTAAACACGACAAAATTTAATATTAAATCTACTTCAACAGTTTGAGAACTGTTTAATGTACATGCTAGTAATTTCGTGGCGAGCGATTATAGTTGCCTATGATGTTGAGTTGCGACCCATGGTTCCTTTCAGACTTTTTATCCTCATTACGACAAAAGTTTGACCTTGAATTCCAGGGTCAAGGTCAATTTTGCAGTGACTTTCTTTTGCAGATCTCCATCGATTCAAACACCCTGTACATTTCTATACACGTCTATCAAAATTTTTTATAATCTTAATTCCCGTATTCTAATCTTTACAATTAATTGTTCAGATCGCGGGGCAGCAGTCCTAATGTCAGCAGCGCTCACCGTGGCTACTCTTGCGGCTCCTGCGACGTGGTTGCGCCAACGAGACCAGCCCTACGGAAACACATTGTCGACTGTCATCCACCCGTGGCAAGCACGGAAACAGGAGAAACGAAAAACTGTCCGTCCTCCGGCTGTGACTTCACAACGAGCAGCAGGTGCGAAATGGAGACTCACGTGGCCGCGCACGTGGCGCAGGGCATGACACCGACGGGCAAAAAACGGACCCTGGCATTGCAACGCGTCAGGTATAGGTACTTAAAGTTGCTCTGCAAATTTTATATCTATCGATTCTTTGGCGATGTACACTGACGAGCAAACTCGGCTTCCATTAAGGGAAAAAGCAGCGGAGGGAAAGTGTCTTCTACCACTTTTATTTTAAGTACTAAAATAACTGTTAAACTGAATATTAATTTGGTATAAATTTCAGTAATTCTTGCGATCATATGGTAGGAGGCCTGTCCCCTACTCCACTTTTTTTCCTAGCGGAAGCCGAGGTCGCTCGTGAGTCGCTTATATGGGACACAGTTCTCCAAAAAATATTTGTCTTGTAAAGTAGAGGGATGAAAATATATTTTTTAGAATACGTCGAAAACTAGGAGTAGGAAAAATTCTTCCTTTAAAATTGTGTGTTTTCGACTGGGCAATGTAGCCACCCGAGAAAATTACACAAAAAATTCAAATTTTTAATATATTATTTAAATAAATGTTATTCGTAAAGAATTGTGCCCACAACTCTGTCGCAAAGTTCATTGCGAATCGAAACATCGTCCGTTTCAAAATTACCATTGCCGTTAATAAAATCCGACTTATGGTACGATTCTAACGGGCAGATACGAACGAGAGGAGTACCGTTGCTCGCTGTGCTCGTACGCCTGCACCATCGAGAAAGCGTTTCAGAGGCATTTGAGGGCACACGCAAAGGGCACAGCAGCGGAGACCAGGGTGAGCTGCGCCGTATGCGGGGCTGATAGATCCTCCGAGGTCGATCTCAGCAGACACATGAGAAGGCATCGCGACGAACGATACTTCTGCTGCGACATTTGCATCTTCCGCACAGTTCAACTGAAGAAGGTAATGTAGGGATAGATTTTGGAGTTAAATGTGATTATTGAAGGAAACTGCGTACTTGATAAAATAAACAAAAGTAACACTATTTATTCTAAAAAAAAACTAAATCTTTCAGATATACCTACTGCAATATTAAATATTACGCAAAAATTCTATAATTCTGGGAACGGCGGGGGGGAGGGTGGCAAAATCCAATTTTTTTTCTTGTAGGATGGGGCAAAAGCCACTTTTTTCCGTCCAGGGGGAGGCAAGTGCCCTCCTGCCCCTCTCGGCTACGCCCTTGGTATGGGCTATTGAAATCGCGTAGAATTTCAAAACGTTAGCGAACGTAATCTATGGACTCGGATTGTTTTTAGATTCTATCTCCGGCGTGCTCGTGTAATCCGCCAGTCGATCGTAAATTCCACGATATTCTACTCGGTCCTTTTGAATTTCCCTGGCCGCTTGGATATATTCTACGTCACTCTTAAATCAACAGTTTCGATATATGCAAATCGCGCACCCCGTGATCCTCGGATATATTGGAAATCGATGACGGGAAGGGAGGATATTTCAACGGTAGAACCATACCGACGATAAACTTTTATTTATTTTTATTGGACGCAAAAAATGGCAGCTTTCTACGATATACGAGTTATTAGACTGATTAATTTCTTTGTTTACGTATCGTAATGAAAGTCGTGAAGAATTTTTTCTGCTTATTCCATGGATTAACAGATTGGTCCTCTTTATTGCCCCAGCTTATTCAACATCGACGTATGCATACGGGTGAGAAGCCACACCTTTGTCCGCACTGCGCGTACAGAAGCGCCCGTCGCGACAACCTACGGAGCCACGTAAGACGCGTCCACAAAAAGGAGAATCTCTACTGCGACACGTTCAGTCCGCGGGGCATGCTGCTCACGCCCACGATCGGACGGGACGCGCCGCTCGTTCAGAGCCCGGAATCCTCGCCGTCCTCCAACTCGGAGTCCACCAACTAGCGAAGCAACTAGACAGAACGGAGCAACGGGTCGTCGTCGTTTCACACGTCCTAACTTTGTCAATATTTACGACCTAGGTGTTAAAATCGCGGGGGAGATTTTGCATTTCGACAAGACGGTTCTTGCCATCACGATTCGAGCTACCTTCGAGAAAAGGCTTCTTATCATTTCGAAGACGTTTGTAGATGTTTGATACGGTTTGAAGACGTTTGCCGAGGTTTGATTAAGTTTGGAGACGTTCGATTGAGTTTCGAGACCTTGGTAGATGTTTGATGGAGTTTGAAGACCTTCGTAAATGTTTGATGGAGTTTGAAGGTGTTCGAAGATCTTCGAGCTAGGTTCAAGCGATCGGGAATGGACACTTTTGGTTCGTTCATTGTGAATCTTTTCTTGTGATTGTATTTAATGACCTTCTAATTGTAATCTGTGTCACGTGAATTATTGAAACTCTATTTTTTAGCGATATCTGGAAACGAAACTTGAAATGGGGGAAATTACACTATAAACAATTTATCATACTAGAAATGTTAGAAAATAAACGTGAAAATTCATCGAACAAGGAGCACATTACATTTTTGAGTTTAAGATTACGTTTGGTAGAAAATTACTAAACAATGCAACGAACGAAAAACTGACAGTGCACAAATAATACAGAGTGATCTCATCCATAGATTTAGTAAAGTAGACATCAAACTTCTCGATCGATCTTTCTTCAAACGTCACCAAAAATCATTCCAGGTGACACTGTTCACTTTGCATAATATAATATAGTCATCCATAAAAAATTAAGAACAATTCACAAACCATTGAACGGTGTTTGAACTTTGTCGATAATTTATTTAAGATCATGTAAAATCGGTCGTTAGCAACGGGTAGCTAAATAAGTGACGGCAAGGACGGTCACAAGTTGACGATTCGAAGTTTCCAAGAACGATATTACGATTCTTCGCAATTATTCGAAAGCTTTATTACGAATTACAATACGTGTATATGTATAATACAAACGATGCCGCGAGCAACGAGATGTTAAACGGGGCGCTGAAGAAAGTAACATGGAAGATTAGGTGGAACTTCTGATTGAGAACGACGAGGTTCGCCCCTAAGTAAATAAACAACACGTAGAGAATTTGCATGCGAACGTCGATAATTTAATCTAATCTTCAAATTCTAACGAGATTCTTATATTAGTCGATTTTTTAATTCGTCGGAAATTCGTTCGTTGATCAGAGAACGATGAACGAAGTTAAAGCTGCAGCAATGGTGCTAGAACCGTAGACTGGATTATAGAGGAAGACTGAATGTAGGAACGCTATGCGGCGCGTCGTAATTTTATTTATCTTTTGCGTCGTTAGCCGTGATCCGAGTGGAAAATCGGTGATTATTAAAGACTGCTGTCCTGTACTGATGGTCAAGAAATTCTCATGCTGTGATGATCAAATGACAGTAACATGAATCTTATAAATTCCGTTCGATATTCAACGTTTCAGTATTCAAAACACTTTTAAAAAAGTGATTACATGAAAATTTTAAGAATTAATATAAATATATACTTTGTAAGATATATGTAAATCATTTTAAAAAATGGTATGGACTAATTATTGACTGTTGACAAATATTTAAGCATTTTATTAGCATAGTAATTGCAAGAACTATTTGTTCATTGAAAAATCATAAAATCGTTTTCCATCATCCATAGATAGAAGAGTAGACAAACAGCATGAGAGAATCTTCACCCTATGGGAAAGGTGCTATATTCCAAGCATAATTTTATCCTCGCGCTCTCCTATATTCACCTCGAAGCTATATTATAATTGTCCAATTGTAATTATGATTGTTAACCGTATTATCGATAACGATATACCTTGTTATTATTATCGGTATCATTCCTACATTTAGCGTGTAACGCGATGTCGGTGGAGCCAATCTTACGGCTGAACAGATGGGGATCGCAGCAGCGTGTATCACGTGCCAATATGTTCATTAACTGAGGGAAGGGTAGTCGAGAGAATTTTATCGAATTTCATAGAGATAGCGATAACGTGGCTCGAAAGTCTTCTGCTGTGGTCAATAAATCGTGTCCCGCCCTGAGATTAACGTGGAACCGATACACGATTACCTTCGACCGTGTATAAGATTATTTCACGTTTTTTTACATTAACCATCGGTGAAATGGTGCGACTATGAAAGAAAAACAGACGAAAATGAGAGCAAAAAAAAAAGATATACGAAGGATAAGAAGAGAGAAGAACCGTATATGTATATGTAATACAGAATGCAGGATTTTCCAACGAACTATAAAACTTTTCATGTTTGTCTCAAACTAACTCTTAAGCCGTGAAAAAAAAAAAAAGATTGCAAGCCAGCGATTCGTAAAACCGCAAGCAAGTTCCCGTTCCGTGTTATTACTGGCTTTATAACTCTATTCCTCACTTAACGTCGAATTAGTAATTAAACAATTACAAGTTTTTTCCTCTTTACGATCGAACACCGTCCCCGAACGATTCTACCGTGCTACAATTACTTTCTATGCTATGAAACGAAAAGTGAGAGAGCGAGAGAGAGAGAGAGAGAGAGAGAGAGAGAGGGGGAGAGAAAGAGATAAAGAGTGAGAGAAAGAACGAATGCGTGAGAAAGAGAGGGAACGGGGGAGGCGACAAGGCCAATCCATATAACATAAATGTGTGTCAATTTTTAATGTATCATAACTACGTTCTAGTCGATAACGGTTTTTAAGGAGAAAGATAACGAGGCACGGGAAGAGGATCTACGCTCCTCGACGCGTGATGTGTCACGGCCGCCATTGATACGTTACTGTTTTCCTGGTCTAGGGCTCCTGTTAAAATACAGTGGACTCTAACTACAGGCTCCTCTCGATTATTGTCTGGCTTATTCTACACGATTATTGTCGAGCGTTATTAGTCGGGCACAAAACGAATTTACGAAGGTCTGAAGCATTTCTCCCTACCCGATTATTGTCCCGGCACGGACTCGACTTCGGGACAATAATCGAGAGGAGTCTGTGTATTGCCAAGGTCGAGGCTATAGGGGAGTAAAATGGCAATGAAATCTGAGCCCCCTCCATGCTAAGTTCTATCGTCATAGCCTCGGCCTCAGCGCCTGCGGTGAGACACTTTTTTATACGCACGGTATCACATGTGTGGCGAATTTCCGTCGTTGAAGCCGCGTAGACATGGGGGCAGAGATGGGCAAATTCATTATCTAGATAAAAAGTTTCGAATAACGAATAAAAGATGAAAAAAATATTTCGTCATTTTTACTTGATCGAACGTAGTAATACGGATCGCGATGTTCTACCTACGTGAGATGATATTTTTGGTACCGATGGTCCTGCGCCGGTGGCCACGAACGGAAAGAAAAAATCAGAGAAATACCACCGGACGGGCACGGCGACGTTGTTGATTGTTGGTGTAACCGATGCGTTGTGTATCGTACTAGTAACGATATATTCTATTTTTGATAACCGCTCGATTGATTATTCCATTTAGAAACGATTGGTCTCACGGCCGTGATTTTAGGGGATTATTTAGCGTTTAAGGTATCGCGAACGTGCGCCGATACGCGACGGTATCATCGCTTTCCTTTCGTTCACGAACCTCGCCCGTCGGGCACGATTCTTTACGATGAAACGTGCCTGTAGGTGAATGCTTTCGGAATAAGGCGCGGAAACGTTGCAGGGTGACTTGGAAATTCGAGGGAAATATTTATTATTACTGCTTTTTGTGTCATAGTGAATATGATGGTTACTGGAAACGTTGAGTTCTGAGGTTCTGGGGCTTTTTGATTGAAGCGGTAATCCGTTAGGTATGCTCAAGATGGCGGCCATTGGGGGATAATTCGATTGAATAGTTTTTTTTTATTAAATGTTAAATAATTCATTCTTTTCGTTTATTTAATGATTTAGATCAGTCGATGTCTATGCGTGAAGTAGTTGATGTTGATATTTTCGACGATTTGAAGTAAATATGAGAGATTTGAGGCTTCCACGGCTAAAGGCGGAAGGGCCTCCTATCAATTAGTTTTGGGAGTCATTAAAATTTATGCCAAATTAACATTCGGTTTAATATTTATTTCAGTACTTGAAATAAATTTACCAAGTGGTAGAAGACCCTTCTGTTACGTCACTTTTTCTCCTAGCAGAAGCCGAATTTGCTCGTGGGTTTACAGTTATTACTATTTAGGCACATAGTCCACACGCAATTATTGTACCAGAATTTCACAGTCACCCGGTACGAGCGAATCAATTGTTGTTTTAAGGAATTGCCTTTCGTGAACGGACGTAGAGCCTCCTCGAGCCGAAGTAATGATTTATTGCAATTCAGTCTTAGTATACGATGCATAAATACGTGTAACAAATCGCCATTTATTATATCGTATCGTCCGAAAGGTCGGTCTCAGGTGCGTCCGAGGTTCATTCGAATTAATTCTAGCCAATCTCATCGTTCGTAAAATTCTCATGCCAATAGCGAGGGAATTGACGCGTGCCAAAGAATACTGCTACGAGAAGCGAGACGGGAAATGAGGAAACAAAGCGTATTAAAGAGAATGAAATGAATAGAGAGACGGAGGCTGCGACGAGTCGAATTCGCTCGATCCGTCATTTTCGTGTCTCTTCATTTCTTTCGTCACGTACATTGTATGTAGTCGATGAAATTAGAATCGCGCCAGACGATCTTGAGCCGCGAAACAAAAATTTACGGTTTTAAATCGTGAAACGAAATTGCCGATCGAGCAAACTCGTCTTGTATAAAAACCACGAAAACTAGTTGTTACAATCTTTTAACTGTTGACTTTTTGCAGTAGATGGTAAGTGTCTTAACGTATACCTTATATAAACTACACAATAATATATTCTATATTAATGTTTCTTAGATTTACGTACTCGAACGACCAACCACGGGCTCTGCGTCGATCGTCGCCCCCGAATCGGCGAAACTCTCGTATTTTCAATAAAAGAATGAATATACGATATACATATACAAAAACAAGATGAACGTCCT